TTACCTTGAGTTATTATTGAATTGTCACGGGTTTGCGACTGTTCAGAAGTGAGAGGGGGATCTCATATCTAGAAGGTTTCTTGGTAGAAGTTTCACAAGATAGTGATTAGGCGAGAAGATGTAAACGGGGGAGTTTAGCTTTGAACTGATGTTATCATAGTGAATTTCCTTCTTGGCTTGGATGCCCCCAAATGTAGGTGATGTTGCACTGAATTGGGTTAACAATTGACTATGTTGCTTATTATTCTGCATTTTTTGATAGTCTGTTATAATTGTTCTGTCAGACAGAAGATGTTGTAACATCTGTCTTGATATTATGTTATGGTGTGAGGACATCAGTATTATCATGTGGTAGAGTGCCGAAATTTCAGAGGTGGTAGGAAAAATTAGGGTTCCACTGATGAACCTTAATTTTTTTTGGATCAAATGGCTACTTTAATAGAACAAGGCCAATAATGATAGTTGGTATTGTTCAATGATGGGGAAATGAGAGCAAGACATGGGTTATCACTAGGGTGCATAAATAAAGGATTGAGCATGTTGTTTTAGTAGTTACAATTAGGGTTTTCGTTTGAATCATATATAACAGGTGATTTAATGGTGGAAGATATATCAGGTTGTGGTGGATTGGATGTGGTAGGTGGTGAAATGGGTGGAGAGTAGGAATAATCATCAATGGGACCATTAATAGTCGTCATTGTTAAAGGAAATGAAAGAGAGCGAATAAACAATCAGAGAGAAAGAAGAGAGGGTTTGGTGAAAAGATCGAAAAAACGTGATGAAAAGTCTTAATTTGTTGAGAAAATGTGAAAGAAAGTGGATTAAAGATAAGGATAGAATCTCAGTAGCCAATAGAAAAGGAATACAAATGGATAAAAATATAGGGGATATCAGAGTAATCTTACTCAGTGATACCATGTTGACAAGTGTGCACCAAAAACAAGTCCACACATGGTGGTGATATCTGAATAAAAACAGAAAAAGAAAAATAAACTGAATATTTATAAAAGAGGAATGCTCTTTCCACGCCATAGGGTGTGTTCCACTCCTCTGAAAACTGGAAAATGCTTTTCTTGTGTCCGGTGATTCATCTCTGACGCACATAAAATCACGCCATCCTTCATAATTTTTTATAGACACACTATTTTGAACAAAATCTGGTCCAGAGATGCATCTCAAATATTATTTAGGGTGTATCTGGAGATGCATCACTAAAAAAAACCTGAAGTCATTTAAAGGTATTGGGAGCATGTTTTTTGAACTCAGAAGATATTTCGAATATGCATCTCTGAAAACTCATCTGAATGGTTTCAAAGCAGCAACGTTGTCCATAGATTCTAATTTTTTGAGGCCAAATTATATTAACGTAAAATCAAAGTTAATTCAAAGTAAAATCAAGTTATATTAAATTAAAATCAAGTAAAAAGTAACACACTAATTAAAGTAAAATCAAAATGTATTGACCATACGTAAGTTGTTCTGAAAACAAAAAATAATACAAATAAACATAAACTAATGGGTCTGTCTAACTCCCCGACTCCTCCTCTGCTTGTACTGCAAGGCATTTTGTGTCTCATCCTTAATGTTTTCTACGAGCGCCAACTAGGGACTAACATCTTCAAAAATCCCTTTCTCTATACTCAATCTTGCCATATCCATAATACGGTGAAAAGCGTTGATCAAGTCCTGGTTGTGATCATCCCTAACCTCAAGTACCTCCTGATTTGATGGTCTAAGTGGTCTTCCAAGAGCCTCTGATGTCATGATAAGGTGTGATATCCTATAGAACCATGTCATTTATTCGTCTGCATATGCATAATGTATAGGAGCTAGAACCCTGCAATACTCCTTTGGTACCATATGAATCTTGAAATCCTCAAGTATCGTATCGAGATCTCTGTACCAGACGTTGGAAGGAGCGAACACTGAGGGGTGTCTCGGTATAATCTACGAATACCCAAAATGAAGCATCACTCGCTATGGAAGATATGGATACATCAGACCTGACCCACACGATACACATCTGGAGTATAACAAAATGAGGTCCAGCTGACGCGTCTGGCTGTGACCGCCGCATGGGTAGAAGACAATGTCATTACTACGTGACAATCAAGATACACCTGAAATGGCTCAATCGCCCGATCCCCTCTTAGCAGGGAAAAAGTGGCAGCACGTGGTCAATCCTCAATGTAGTCAGACACAGGTTCCCACCTAGTGATGCGAGGAAAATGGGAGATGATCCATCATTAAATTACCGTAAGCAACGTGTAGCTTCTTTTCATCTGCTTTATCTTCCAAAGATAAACCTTGCACAACTTCGAGTACAGATAGACTAAACAGGCAGCCATCCAGTTGTACTCGTAAATCGTCGTCAGGTTTATCTAAGGTAGACCACATCAACGTAGGTTACACTTTTGTCCACAAACATGGACGTGTCAATCAGGAACAAGAGGTATCACCTCAATGCACACTATCAGCGGTATTCAATTTGCATATCATCATTGTCATCATTGTGTAGTTCTTCAAAGAAATTATATCTAGTATGAGCACCTCTGGCGTCAGCTACCTCGTTTGTAGGCTCAGTTAGGTCATCCCCCAAATATGTAACCAGCATCTCACTGGCTTCCTCTCGACCGAGCTTGTTGTGGTTCAGTAATTTTCCCCTTATGGGAACATGTAGGAGGCATCATACATCATACAGGATGATGGTTATCTTATCATTAGAAAGGTGGAAAGTTGACGTCTCTGAATGTCATCTCTCTACAAATGTCGCATGCATGCCATGGTTTATGGTAGTGTGCGCAGAAGCACATAAACCAGTAAGACCAGAGTAGAGGATAACATTATTGAACCACTCAACAACGGTCTACTCCAAATCCAATATCTTCCTTCTGTGGTTTAGGGATTTGAAACATAGATGCTCATGTAAAAAAAGTCAAAATAACCATCAGTCGTGATTAAATTAGTTTAAAACAAATGTAATGCAAAGTTAAATAAATAATATATCTCTCATTCCCATACATACTTACCTAGCATCATGGTCTCCATATAGATGAAGTAAGGAGGTGTCAAATGGGGATAAGCCCAAATTAGTTTAAAACCAAATTTGGAGATTCATCTCCAGATGAACTCGCGATTTTTAGCAATGGTATAAACCCCATTACTGGCCTAACCTCCAACCAAATGAAAATGCATGTATATATCAACTACCTATTTCAATTTTACTACTATGTAATGCAACTTTAACAACATATGTTACCTAAAACATCACTCAAAACACATAAAGTAATGAAATGATAAACTGATCCAAAATGGAGTTGTGATTGAGAATCTTGAATGGAGTGAGTAGCTTTGCAGCAATTGAAGTATAATGGAGTGAGTGAACTTGATGAAACTTGATGAACCTTTAATGGAGTAAGTAAATTTTTAGAAAAAGATCTCAAATGGATTTTTGAATGAGTATTTAGAAAATGAAGGAGAAAGAGGAAAGGGTCTGACAGATCTTTGGATGGTTAGGGTAACCATGGCGTTTCTGCCATGGCTAAAAATCATAGGTTTGTCCGGAGATGCATCTCTGGATTTTCTCAGTGCTATTTTCGAAGATACATCTTTGGATTGAACTTTGGCTAAAATTTGACCGATTTTGTGGATTTTGTGGATTTGTATTAACATGCTCTTTATCTGTGTCGGTTTCTAATGCAGGTGCAATGGTTGATAACAATGCTGAAAACAACTCTAGCAGAGTTAGGCTGGGACGTGTGTTCCAAACCGCGTTGGTACAATGTGTGAGGGTTACATCTACAGCCATGAGTTAATGATAACTCGTTTGATGGTTCACAACCATCAAGTTCACAGCGCCTAGGTTATACTTCTCGTAGTCGTCCCTCTCATGCATCCACTACATGGGGCCATGAGTCCTCGGATGATGCGGAAGACCCTGAAGCCCCTAAAGGCCAAGGGAAAGCCACTGTCCATTAGAGAGTTATTCAGGAGGCCCATTTGACACCTTCTTACTTCATCTCTATACAAATCATGTTGCTATGCATATTTAGGAATGAAAGTTGTATTTTTTTTTCTTTTGCAATACATATGTTTTCAACTAATTAAATCGATATTGATGGTAATATTTTCTTTTTACAAGAACGTACATGTTTGAAATCGGTAAACCATGAGCAGAAGATATTGGAGTTAAGGCATCCCCTTGCTGATTGGTTTCAAGATGTTTTCTGTTATTTCGATCTTGTTAGTTTATATTATGTTGTATACATGACCATATTCCACGGCATACAGACGAATTTTACTGAGAGATGGTGTTCCATCTTCATATAGGTGAGATGACCATCACCTTGAATGACGTCTCCTGCATCTTCCCATAAGGGAAAAATGAATGGGCCACAAAAGAATCGATCTAGAGGAAATCGCCGAGATGATGGTCACCCATTTGAGAGTTGATTCAACTAAGGTCTCAAAGGAGGCAGTTGCCACAAGAAGTGATCATGCTAGGCTTAGTTTTTATGGAAAAGTTTTATAAAGAATGCCTATAATGGCTTGTGGATGCTAAAGGTGGCAATATGCAGCTTGAGCACCATCACACTTGTGCATTAAGGTGTTATCTCTTATTCTTGGTTGACACGTCCATATTTTAGGATAAAAATCCAACCTCTATCGATATGGTGTACCTTCGGTACTTCATCAACGTATCCAAGAGTATGGTCATGTTGGATATGTTGATTGGATTCTAGTCCAATCCAAAACATTTTTTTACGGAAGCTTCTCAATCCATTTCTAAAATCCGGAGGAGTTTATGGTAAGGATCTTTTTAGTAGCATAGTTTAGCATATTTAAGCATATAGACCACATGTAATAATGACTTTGAATATCGACCGAACTAGTTTTATCTGTATATGGTACACAACCTATACTATTCCATTCTTCAACTTCAATTTTCCAGCAATATGTACCAGATGCCTCAAATATGCTATTAATCCAGGTAAAAGTTGTCACAAAAAGTGAAGACAAAACCAAGTGAAAGCCAATCCAAACAATCCCAGAATGTATATGTTCTGTTTTCTGGGGGAGTTACCTGCAAAACAAACACCCATTTTGTTTAAAATATCATAAATATATCTGCAACTGCAAATTTATGCTTCTTACCAAATTGAAGATACTTCTTCCTAATGTTCCATTCAAAATCCCAGTGCTCCCTATCATTCTTTATAGTCCAATAACACCAACCAAACGACACTGCATTATACACATCTAACTGTGCCTTTCCATATTCCAGATAATCCGTTTGTGATCCACTCACCACATTCCACTCATTCACCCACTCTCCTGAAACCACGGTTATCGATTTGAGGTTCAAATTGCGAATCATCTGATGCATTCAAGAATTACTATGAAGTTGATCGAGGTTTAAAATTGTCTTACCTATAAAAACGAGTGGGCCATTTGAATCATTGAAGGCCAGCAACATATTTTCCCTACTTTTGTATATGTATTGTATATTATCCCTGGCGCTCATATTAACAAAGAATGTGTCAAAAAGGTTGTAGAAATGCAAATCCAAAACTAAATTGGTAGATCCTATGTTGGCTTGATAAAGCTCCAAAGGATCTGCATTGCCGATTCTCTGGCACACTATCACATAAGCCGACGACGAGTATTTCCGAACAATTTGATAGCCTTGCTTGTAGTAGGAAATTAAAATATCTGAGGAAACTGTGCTGGCGGATGGTTCATTCAAAAGTTCAATTCCAAGCAAGGCAGGATGCTTCGCATATCTGCAAAGGAGAAAGCCGAATTCAACATATTTAATGATTTTATGTTCTAACACGAATTGTGTTCAACAGATAAATTTGTGAAAAGGAAACAACTTTACCGAGAAATTAAAAACTCAATAACATGTAATGACTTTGAAATGTAATCGGGAGAAGTTGGCCATCCTGTAAATCCATCTCTGCTTGCACTATGTTCCATCCCGTTTTGTGAACCAGGAGCAGCATGAAGGTCAATTATGCATTTTATATCATATTCTCTGCAACATAATATTTAGGCACATTGTTACAGGTAAACGAAAACGAAGTTTCAATTGCGCCAAAAACAATGAAGATAAATAAGGAGAAATTAAAACCTACTGTGCCCATGAAAATGCATTATCTAGAGCTTCAAGAGTTCCTCCAATAAATGGACTTGGAGGATCAGGATCAAAAGCAATCCACCACCCAACCGGAATCCTCACCGTATTTATTCCATGTTCATATAGAAATTTGAAATCCTCTATTGTAATAAAGCTATTTCTATGCCTCTGCAGTTACAGAAAACTAAATAATGCGCAACAAAAGCATAATTATACAGAGAAATATTTACAATATATAATTTTACCCTAAGAACATCCTCTGCGCTATCATGTCCATAACCATTTGCTAGCTGATAATCTCCATGAAGGTTATTTGATACAATTGTCATTTCAAACGTGGCTGAATTATCATCCCATCCCGGTGCGCCTGGATAGTTTGCCGTGAGCTGATTACCAGTTGTAACCTATAAAGATAGTGGTATTAGCATTCATGTGAAATGATTTGTAGAAATACTAACATGGTGGAGTGATTGATAAAAACACAGTGCATGCTTTTCAAAACACAATTACTATACTTTTTTTTCATTTTATTCTTGTTATGACAAAAGAATTCGGCACAAAAACATCATCCCATTTTACGTAGACCTAATCGAATTTCAAGTTAGTAAAAAGCAAAAGGATGAATACCTGCAGATAGGGCCCGTTCTTTATCTTGATGTGAATCCTATTTTTCTCATTACGCTGAACTTCAAATGTCTCTGATGTTGAAGGCGATTTTGCTGTTGCAGAGACAGTGCAGCCTCCACCATCACATGTAAGAAATTGGCCTTGTGCAGTACGGAATTGAAATTCAGATTGTGATACTCTCCACAACTGCAACAGAAGAAATACATAATCTTTTTATAAAACTTCAAGTTCTTTATGCATCACTCTAACAAAATATCTCCTTAGTAAAGATATATCAAAACCAATGAAAGACTCACACATTGACTTGAATAGTCTCTTTCTGCATCAAGATAAGCATAGAGCCTTCAAAATTGTGGTACTAAGTTTGAAAAAAAGGACTGCATTAACCTAGGTTGTTCAATTTAAGGGACTAGATCTCTATTTCAAAAATACAAGGGACTAAACTAACCAACCCTTACAATTTCAAGAACTAAGATGATGTTTTACTCAACACAAAATACTTCCAATTAGAATCATATTCAAGTTCACAATCAACAATGAGTATGCAAAAGTTGGTCTATTGGTGAAGGCTTAGGACTTGAGAGTGTGCTCCTCTCAAAGTCTTAGGTTTGAACCATGCTAGGTGCTGACAGTTCTTGTGTTGGGTCAGTGCATACAAAGTTTTGATCTAGATTTAAATGGGCCCCTGTTAGTGGACAGTGAGATTGATCCCCTTGAAATAGTCGGTCTAATGGCTAGATACCAAGTTTTCAAAACAAACAAAAACAATGAATATGCAATCGTTCCTCCAAAGTATAATTAGAATTGTTGCAATATGCAATGCTGAAGAGAAAATGAAAACAACAAGAAAATAGACATCTTACCCTGAATGTTTCCCATGAAGACGGAACGTCCCTATCAACTGTCACATTCATTCCTCCCCCATTGTCTGCAGATACATATTTCTGTAATGTCACTGACTTAAACTGCACCTCTGTCCCATCCTATAATTTTTAAGTACCATCAACACACTAATCATCCAGATAAGTCATTTTAGTCTCTCAATGTGTGAGACAGTGTCACTATACAAGAAGTTATTAAGAAAGATCTCGAGATTAATGATTTGAACAGAAGCATGATCCTGAATAGAACATTATGGCGCAAGTTGATTTATGTAGCCGACCCTACTTAATGGGATAAGGCTTGGTTGTTATCGTTGTATCCTTGAATGTGTCTTCTGTTAGTAATTTTGTGAGCTAGAATGGCTAACAGAAGACACACACGAGGATCAAATTAACCAACGAAAGACACATTCAAAGACCAAAGCAAGTAACAAAGAGAACATGAAGATGTGCTTTTGTAATTTTGATACATTCAAGTTCTAGAGTGACCGCGACTAACACATCGAAGAATCGATATTGCAATTTACTCAAATAATAAAGAATCTCGCAAAAAATGAGGAAATAAAAGTAAAGTAACTCACAAGCATGTCTCCATTGGCAATGCCATCAAACAACGAAGGTTTGATCCAACCTTCAATAACCAGCCACCCACCTAAGTTCACTCCTCTAACTTTAGAATCTCCAAGTAAACCCTCCACTTGAAAGAAACAAGAACAACCAATTCAACACAAGAAACATTGTAATGAAATCTTTGAAGTTGAACAGAATATACCTAACCTGAATATGCTCTAGAATTGATGAGAAAACAAGACAGTAAGAATGTGCATGCCCATTTGGTAAAAACAAGTTCCATCAAGAATGCGGACTTCAAAAGCACCCAGAAAGCAAAAATGCATAATATATTTAAAATGGGGTGAATTTTTGCAATTCTTTCCTTATCACTCAGGTGATTGTGTTTGGGAATTGGTTCACTCAACTCGTCCGTTACTGTTTCTGTTATGCTGAAAACCGCAGCCAATGAGGATGAAAGAAAAAAGAACTTGTAGAGTGGGAAGAGTATAAAGATAAGAAGAAAAGTGTCTTAAAAGGGAAATTTTACTTGTGGGGTTACGGAGAAGTGTTATTTTATAGATTATATTTTAAATAAATAAAAAACTTAGAGTAGTTAAATTTATTTAGTTAAAAATATTTTGCTCAAATTATATATAAAAAATAGTAACAACTTTTACATAATAGAGAAGTTATCGCATCGAGTTTTTTGATTTTGATGTTTTCATGTCGTTATTATCGGTCAAGCCACCAGATTGAGGTGCATTTAAGCTTTATGAGATATTTTTAATGAAGGCAAACGAGTCATTAGTGTGAAGGAGAAAATGTATCTGATTGAAAGGAATTTAGGAAAGTATGGGAGTGAGGTCTGAAAGTGTTAAAGGTGTTAAGAGTTTCACATCGATAATATATAGTCTGAGCATGTGTTTATAAGTTGGGACAGTCCTCACTCTACCAATCAATTTTGTAGGGTTGAGTTAGGCCCAACCACATAGGGGTATGAGTCACCTCTCTTATAAATCCAACATTTCCTTCATTCTTAGCCAATATGAAATTTTATCACTTTTACACTTGAAACCCATTAATCCCCCCATAAATGTGAGTCACCCACATCACTAGGCTTGATTCACACTATGATCCACTTCCGCTATCCCACCGAGCCAACCAGACTCTGATACCACTTGTTTGTGAAGTCCGGAGAGCGAGGTTGAAGGTGATAAAGGGTCAAACATTCATGGTTCCAATAGACTTTGACGTCACATATTCAACTAAAATCTTAAGGCTATGGGGGGTATGGGTCACCTCTCTTATAAACCCAACATTTCCTCAATTCCTAATTGATGTGGGACTACACTCGAAAATCCAACAAAGAGTATGGATTATCATTTGATGAAGGATTGGTTAAAGATCATGAGGAAACTTACACGAGGTTTTGAGACCATGGATGTTGACAATCGGTTCTTTATGGTTAAATGTGATCTACTCGCAGATAAGGAGAAAATTGTACCACAAGGCCCATGGAAGTTGTTTGACCATTACTTGGCGATAACTCGATAGACTCTAGACTTTACATCTCCTCTCGCAAAGGTGTAGAAGACTCTGGTTTAGATTCTAAAATTCGGTTTCTCAGGGGACAGACACCGAACCCGATGACCTGGACAACTGGTTCGACAAGTTAAATCAGTATGACAGCAGTGAAAAATGTCTTACCTTATACAAGACGATGAAGCAAAAAAGGAAAAAGGAGAACACCGGAGATTGGTAACCCAGCTCGGTGCAAAATACACATATATCTAGATGACACTTTACCCAAGAAAGAAAATTTATTATTAGTATTTTAGTACACTTAGTCTTATAAGCAAAACATGCCATATGTTGTTCAAAGTCTCTTCCTAACACTACCTAATAACTTTTTATTTAGTTCTCCACTAAATATGAGGACCTACTCACTTTATTCTCAATCACACAACTCGTGATTGGTGTTTACAACTCATTAACAATATTGAATGTTACAATTCAACTAAGACAAACTTTCTATGCCAAATTAATGAAACATATAGGTGTACACAAAGATTCTGCACTAATTCAATTATGTCAATAGCATAGAATACAAGAAACATAATATTCACAAGCTTATAAACTTAACATCTTGGAACAAGGTTTACAACTCAATAAACCCAAACTATATACCATGTGATATGAAAAGAGATTCTAGAATGATGCACATATAAAGACTCAAAGAGCAAACCCTAACACTAAATATCTTCAAAACATTCACGCCTTCCACACTTCAAAAGTGAGGTTTTAGTCTCTATAAATAGAAAATTTTAAATTTGAATTCTTAAATTATATTTTAGTTTAATTGAATAAAATTTAATATTTGAATAATTTAAATTAAAATTCTTTTAAGTTTTTCTTAATCTAATTGTATCAGACTTGAAATCGCGAACACTTAAATCATAATTCTTACATTGTATTTAATTTAATTAGATAAAATTGTATAACTCAACCATTAAAATTAAAGTTCTTAAGTCATAAAGTTAATTAAGCACGATTGAACATTTTAATTATCAAAACTAGAACAGTTAAGTTGCAATTAGGGTAATTAAGCAAGATTGGACATTGGAATTGTTGGAAAGTGAATTCTTATGTTTTCTTTAGTATAATTAATAGGATTCTTAAGTTGTACTTGGGGTAATTAAGCAAGATTGCACATTGGAATTGTTGGAAAGTGAATTCTTATGTTTTTTTTAGTATAATTAGGTAGGATTCAAGACTAGATAATTAAACTTAAAATTTATAAATTGTACTTAGTTTTATTAAATAAAATTACACATCCTGATAATAAAATTAAAATTTACAAATTTAACTAAGTATAATTAGCTTAGATTAAAGATTTAGATAATTTAAACTAGTATTATTTAGTCATACTTGACTTAATTAAGTAAAATTAAACATTTAGATCATCAAAATTTGAATTATGAAATCTTACTTATTCTAATTTAAGAAAAATTTAACATTTAGATCATCATAATTAGAATTTTAAAATTGTACTTAATTTAATTATGTAAGAATGAACATTTGGATCATTTAAATTAGAATTCTTAAGTTCTCTTAGTATAATTAAGTAAAATTGAATATATAGATTGTCGGAATTAGAATTTTGAACATATTTAATTTAATGAGGGAAGATTGAATATCTAAATCATCAAAATTAAAATTTTTAAAGAGTATTTAGTCTAATTAAACAAGATATGAAATCCTGATCATCACAAATCAAAATTCAAGTATAATTATGTGAAATTGGATATCTAGGTTATCATAAATCACACTTAGTCTAATTAAATAAGATTAAACAAATAGATAATCAAAATTAGAATTCTTAGCTCTTATTTAGTACTTCCTCCGTCTCAAATTATAAGACGATTTGAGTATTTCACACAATTTAAAAAATACAATTATTACTTTATGAAAAATTGAAATGATTTATGATTTTACAAAATTATCCTTCATTAATTATATTAAAAAATGGACTAAAAAAATAAGAAGAAAAAAAGAGAAATAAATGATAAAAAATATATTAGAAAAAAAATCATTAATGTTGTATTAAAATTCTAAAGTGAGTTATAATTTGCAAAATGACTCATAATTTGAGATAAAGATAGTATAATAAAGTAATAATTGACATCTATATCATAAAAATTAAATTTTTTAAGTTATAAATTTGTATAACCCATGCGAACGCACGAAACTCTACCTAATTTAATTAAATAAAATTAAACATCTCAATCATCAAAATTAGAATTTTGTAAGTCAAACTTAATATATACTTAACATATGTAAAATAGAAAATATAGATCAATAAAATTATAATTTTTAAGTGCTACTTAATTTAATTAAATAAAATTGAACATATAAATCACCAAAATTAGAAAAGTTTCCTCAAATGATGATTTAAGGTTTTACTAGGTGCATTATGAAACACCTTTTCAACACCCCGTCAAAAGCCTGAACATTCAATTCACAATAACCTTTCTTCCACAGAAATAGAACCTTTCTCTGCTCGAATTATTGCTGCCATCTCACCCACCATTTGCACATATCTCCTCCCATTTTACTCCATTCCTATCTTTCAAAACGGAAATCTTTTTGCCTTTTTCAAGTACAACACTCTCTGCAGTATTTTCACAAACAGGTTAAGTGCAATCATGTCGCTCCTTAAAACCAACTCAAGTGCCGCAGAACTTCAAATGGAAACACAAACCCAGAAGAGAAATTATCATATATCACGTTTTCAGCACCAAAAATCTCAGTATAAAACAAAACTTTTAGTTTAATAGTATACATAGTATTATTTAAACACAAGCACCTGTGGCCTAATGGATAAGGCGTTTGACTTCTAATCAAGCGATTGTGGGTTCGAGTCCCACCAGGTGTGTATATTTTTATTTTTTAATCAAATTAATTTTTTTCTCCTAAACAAAACCAATTAAAACACGACTCGTCGGAAACTGGAGGTTTTCATTCTCATTCCGATGCGATTTTCGGCCGTCGCAACAAAGAGCAACGTTACCGGCGATTGAGTTCCGTTGGACCACGATTCCCGATTGCGCGTTAAAGCCATTCGATTGACAGCAAAGGTATTCTGATAATTTCAATTTACTTTTTAGGGTTCAAGCTGGTAACGATTGAGTTCCGTCGGACCACGATTCCCGATTGCGCGTTAAAGCCATTCGATTGACAGCAAAGGTATTCTGATAATTTCAATTTACTTTTTAGGGTTCAAGCTGGTAACGATTGAGTTCCGTCGGACCACGATTCCCGATTGCGCGTTAAAGCCATTCGATTGACAGCAAAGGTATTCTGATAATTTCAATTTACTTTTTAGGGTTCAAGCTTTCATTCAATTCTCAATATTCGTTTGTTGATCCACTCCAGCAGAAATCTCACGCAACAAGGCTGAACAATGCTGGGATTTTCATATGGAGAAATATTTCTATTGCTAGGAGCCACTGCTGCTCTGCTTGGTTTGTTCATGCTATTCTTACTTATCTTTATCATATCCAAAATTTAGTACTTATAAATCTAAATTGTTTAACCGGAAAATCTATCTGCAATAGGTCCAAAGGATTTGCCAATCATAACCAGAACAGCTGGGAGGATGGCTGGCCGGGCTATTGCATATGTACAATTAGCCCGGGGACAGCTTGGATCTGTTATACAGCAATCTCAAGCTCGCCAGGTGCTCTGTCTTTCTTCGATCAAACTTATAATTCATAGAAATTTGTCTGTCCATACTAAAACGCGGTAAACTCATCATTGCATTGTAAGAAAATTGCAATCTAGTTAATGACATATTCTGTCTTGTAGCTTCATGGTGAACTTCGGGATATGATGGCACAAGTAGATGCTATTAAACATGAAGTTCGAAGTCTATCATTCATAAATCCTGGCCCTTTAACTCGAATGCTTGATAATCTCGACCAGCCATCTAATTTAAATGGTATTGTTTATATTGCTGCACGATTTCATCGAAACGTATTATAGTATCCTAAATTTTTACGAATACAATTGCTGATATTTTGTATGACTGTGTTATCGTCTGTAGTTGGATATACAAACAACAGGAAACCAGAAGGTGCTGGGGTGAATCTCTCAATATCGTCTCTTACCAAGGTTTATTGACCACATCAGAAACTGATAATTCTATAGAATGTGCTCCTCTAGGAACCGTGTTTTCTTACACGTGTAATTATTTATAGGATTCAACTCCATTGCCTTCCAATTCATTCAATATGCAAAGCAAAGCAACTACTTATGCCAGGTTGGCCGAGGCCCCTTCCATCAAGAATGGTTCATTGGCAAGTAGTGGTGAAGTGGAGAAGATTAAAGATGGTCTGCAGCTTATTGTCATGCCACTTTCCGCTGAAAGTACTGGACTTTTACCAAATCGTGGTGGTAATAATAATTAGTGTTGTTTAGTTGGTATAACTTAATCATCATTGTCTGTTATTATCTACATCGCATACTATGTTATAGAGATTTTTATACAGCTTTTTTGTATTCAGAGTTCTCATGTACTATGCTATAGAGATTTTTATGCAGCTTTTTTTTATTTGCTCTAGAATGATATCTGAATTGAAGCAAGCTTTGGTTGTATTAGGGGCTGATGTGAAAGGATCTGACATAGTCCAAGAAGCAATTTTGGAAGCAGAGGTAGCTCATAAAGCAAAGGAGTTCTTTTCCCAACCCGAAAATCAGCCTGAAAATCAGATATGATTGATATAGTAAATTAGTAGTCCTATATAATACCTTAAATTTTTAGATGTTAGCATTTGTAGATTCACAGTGATACATATTTAGTCTATACTTTATCTTGAAGGTATTGGTTGATGCATTGTCATTTCTTTAACTTTCTAGCTCTTGTTCCTCAGGACAAGAAATCTAAAGGATTGTTTGTGCTCTAACTATTGGAAGTTACTAGACCTTCTATTGATGTCATTTCTTGATAAGTTTCACCACCATGCTTGACAACACCAAGGTTATAATTGAGATTTAAATCTTGAATATAAAGTAATCTTTTTCAAATTGTGAAGTGAATCTTATTATGAACCAGAAAGATATATAATCAATAAAAATGTGATACTTTTAAATGAGAAATAGTGTTGCCCCATGTCACTTTTTAAATTTGGCCTTAAAGAATTTGTTGATCGTGTCTCTGGTTGTTAATGAAATGTGCTGATTTACTCGCTTAAAACAGGAAAAAATAGTACATAAGGAGAAAACCTAAGTTGATAGAATGTTAAATAATTCACAATTTAAGTCATAAATCAAGATGAAAAAGGTGGTTGCCTAGACAATGTTTATGGGCAAGTTGTAGTTCACCAGAGTGAACTATGATTCATACATTTATTGTCCAGAAAAGATATGCATGATGATTTATATTGATTTTGTTTAATTTTGTTTTGAATTGAGATACATTTGCATGTATTTTAATATGTTCATAAGTCATAATCATGCTTGATACTAATCACACCTAAGCACTTTCCCTTTGCATTACTATATAATCAAAATTGACTACAACCATGAAGGTGTATCCTTGTCCAATAAAAGTTCTTTAGGATGTGTTTGGATTGAAGATATGAGATGGAATGTAGCGGTAATTAATGAGATTCTGCGTGTGTTTGCTTTCACGTCCATTCTCAAGTAAAACGTACGTCTACTAGAAGCTCCATCTATCAGCGTCAAAGAATCACATTAAATATAGCCTTGGAACGTAAGAATCATTGAACAAACGCGTAAACAAACATATGCTCCATTGTTTGGATTTGCAAATAATGGTTGGAATGGAATGAAACATGATGGAATTTATTTCATCTCATTTTATCCAATTTTTTATTTTTTGTTGCATTCAATTTAAAGTGTATGTGATGGAATGGAACAATTTTCATAAAATAATCAAACAATTAATTGAAATTTATATTTCATTCTGCTCCGATATATTTTATCAATCCAAACATAATATTTTTACATTAAATAATATGACTTAAACAAGTCTGGTTATCTTCTCAATTAAATATTTTTAGCTTTGTTTGAGAGTCCGGAAGGGAAGGGAGGAGAGACTTTGAAAAATAGGAAGAATTGAATGAAAATAATAAAAGAATTTTAGTTGGAAACTGGTTTTGAAAATTTTGTTTTTATTCATAACACAAAAAACTTTCTAGTTTGGAAAACTGGAAATTTGTATTGGAGAATGGTTTTGGGGGATTAGACAAATTATTCAAATACAATTTATATTGTTGTTGTATTTAAAAAATAAAAATACATTAATATTAAGCATTCTATTTAAAAATATCTCCCGATAACTCAAATTATTTCTTTCAAAATATTTTCTGCCTTATTCAAATATTTTTCTCACCCTTTTATCATCAAATAAAAAAATTAATAAAAAATAAGAAAGAGAATAAATTAGTTGCAAAATTTTAAAAAATTAAAAATAACTAAAAACGGTTGAAAAATTAAACTTGACTTGGGGTTAAATATATTATTTTGGTTTTTGAGTTTAGTTATTTTGGTCTTAGATAATTTTGGATAATGTTTCTAGAAAACTTTGAGAGTTTCTTAATCCATCCCTTGATACTCTTAGGCACTTAGTGAATTTTCTTTTATGCCCCCTACTTCCGGAAATATACATTCGGGCACACCTTTTTTTTGCTAAAATTTGGATGTTTCCGGAGCTACAGCTACGGGATAATTTTCTACTGGTATACGCTAGAAAAAACTTCAAAGTAATTCGGTTCTGGAAAAGTTCCGTAGATGCACCTCTGAAACGTATAAGCGCCAGAATGTTCCGTAGATACAGCTTTGGAAGTTTCTTCTATGTTTTAAACTTGCATGATCACTCCCCCATTGTTGTCTTTTCTTCTTCCACACTCACCTTCACCAACCTAAAAAATCCTACATTCTCAATATCATTTTCACTCTAAAACTCCAATTTTTTCGTGCAACAAATCAAAGGGAGTAAGAGAATATGGAATTCAGGTAAAGATTGCACTTTGTCCAATACATTGCTCACATTAATCATCAAATTTTGGAAAAACAAAGTAATGTTGCTTCCGGAGCTGTACCTCTGGAACGTGTTGAAATGAACACTTCCGGATGTACACCTCTGAAACGTGTCTGTTATGTTATTTTACAGCAGATTTACAATTTTTGTTTATTTTTCTTATTGTTTACAAATAGGTATGGTGCACCCCGATAATATCTTCAAAGAATTAGTTTCCACAAGGAATGTTCTCCGAATGTTCAAGGGGTTGTCGTGAAGTCGGTAGATGTCAACGTTGACTTTAATAACAAGCAAGAGTTTGATGATCGTGATAGCATGCTCACATGGATTCGTAGGACTGCAACTAGACTTGGTTTTGGTGTGGTTATGAAGATCGGATAATGGTTCGGAAAGAAGAAATGCTTTTGTAACTTTGTTGTGCGAAAGAAGCGAGAAATATCATACTCCTTTACGGAAGTTTAAAAGAGACGACACCAGTAGTAGAAAATGTTTATGTTCTTTTAAGATTCATGGTTACATGTTGAGTACCAAAAATGGAAATTTAGTGTTATTTCTGGTTTGCATAATCATGAATTGTGCTTAAAGTTACAAGGCCATCCTAGTGTATGTTGGCTCAAGCCAGAAGAGAAGACATGTATTAGTGACATGACCCTGAATCTTGTCCAACCAAAAAATATACTTACCACATTGAAACGGAAGAAACCCGATAATATATCAAATATAAGACAAGTGTATAATATTCGGTACCACACCAACAAGGCGATTAGGGGAGATAGAAGTGAGATGCAACAACTGTTGAAATTGTTGGATGATAACAATTATGTGTTCCGATACAGAACTTGCAAAGATGGAGTTACGGTCCGAGATATTTTTTGGACTCACCCGGATTCAATAAAGTTGTTCAACACATTCTTGACAGTGCTCATTCTTGATTTTACCTACAAGACCAACAAGTATAGACTTTCTTTATTTGAGATGGTTGGTGTAATACCCCAAATTTTACCCTTTCTTTTTTATTTTTATTTTAAATTCTTATTAACTTAATAAATTAACCTTTTTTTTAGATCTTGTTTTTTTTAACTAATAATAATTTAATTAATTTTTTTTATAACTTTACTAATGTTTTTTATTAACTTTTTTTTCTATTTAGTTTATTTATTTAAATCATTTTAAGCTCTTCTTACTAACTTTTAGGATTTAGATTAAAATTTAACTTTTTTTTTTCTTTTCTTTAAAGAGTAAATTTTTTATAACCTTTTTTAAATTAATTTCTAACACTTTTTTTTTTAATCAAATTCTAATACTTTTTTTAAAATAAAAATCTAATACTTTTTTTAAAAATTAAATCTTTTTTCTAACCTTTTAAAGCTAAATCCTTTTTTAAAGTTAAATATTTTTTTCTAACTTCTTTTTAAAGTTAAATCTTTTTTCTAACTTTTATAAAGTTAAATCTTTTTTTCTAACTTTTTTTAAAAAAATTAAATCTTTTTTTCTCTAACTTCCTTTTAAAATTAAATCTTTTTTTTTTCTCTAACTTCTTTTTAAAATTAAATCTTTTTTTCTAACTATTTTAAAAATTAAATCTAACCTTTTTTTTTTAAATTAAATCTATCCTTTTTTTTTAAAATTAAATCTAAATCTTTTTTTTGACACCTTTATTTTTCAAATTAGAATTCTAAATTCTTTTTAAAATTAAATTCTAACGCCCTTTTTCTTTTTCTTTTTTTTAAAATTCTAAATTCCTTTTAAAATGAAATTCCAACCGTTTTTTAAAATAATTCTAACATTTTTTTTAATCAACATTCAAATGTTTTTTATTTTAAAATTCTAACTCAGTTTTTTTAAAAACTCTAATTTTTATTTAACTTGAAACTCTTATTTTCTTTGCTAACTTTTTAAATTTAAATCCTGACACTTTTTTAATCAAATCCAATCCCAATGAATTCCAGATAGAGTTAAATCAAATCAATCAGATCATATCATCATCATAAGAAAATCAGATCTAAATATCAACATCACCATCATTGAATCAAATCTGAAATCATCATAAAAATTCATTCAAATCAAATCAGAGATTGAAAAAGATTGAGATATTCAAATCAAATCTGAGATTGAAAAAGATTTAAAAATCAAGTATAAAAGGACCCTCAGAAGCAACAAAACGGGGGGATCGACAAGCATCAAAGACTCTTACAGTCTTCATCAAAAGTAACTAACTCTTCTTTTTTTTTTAATTTCTAATCTTTTTTATATCTTTTTTTCAAAATTTCTACCATTTTTTCTTAATTAAAATTCTAACATTCTAACTCTTTTTTTATTAAAATTCTAACATTTTCTCTTTTATTTTCAAACTTTTATTTTTATTTTCTAACCTTTTTTTAAAAACCAAATTTCGAAGTTCTAATTTTTTTGCTAACTTTTAATTCTAACTTTTAATCTATTTTCTTTTTCTTAATCACATTAAAAACTCTAACTTTTCCAAATCTCACAAAAAAAACCTAATTCCCTTCTAACTCTTTTCTAATTACCTAAATTCTCACCGTCTCAAAACATTCATCACTTAACTTCTAATTATCGTCAATTCCAATTTTCATCATTCATTCCTAACAGTATTCTTGATTATCCATGAACCTGTTCACTAATATTTATTTATTTATTTTTGTATTTATTTTTATATTTGTACATAATCTGACATCATCGTTGCTATTTCATA